CAGGAACTCCATCAGCTTCTCCAATAACTCGAATTTTTGTTTGTCCTCCAACTTCAAGAGTTGTTTGATGTGCATCCATTCGTAATCCAGTCAAATGTCTTACAATAACTTCACAATTTTCTTTTCCTTTTTCTCTCTTTTCACCACTTAGTAATTCAATAAATGATATTCTACTTTCAATAACTGATCTTCCTTTAATTTCTCCAATAACTTTATCTCCATTTAATTGTACAGCATTTCCACTAAGAATAACATGAGAAACAGTAGATCTAAGTGGAGGTCCTCCACGACACTTTATATCTTCTTGTGCAAGTGGAATTAAGTTAATTTCTTTTGGAGTACATGAAAAATGCTCATATATAATAACACTTGATGGTTTTGATTGAACATTATTAATAGTAACAACAATCATAGCCATTCCAACAGTAGATCCAGTAATAGAATATTTTTTAATACCTTTCTTTTCTAAGAACACATTAGAATTATCAGTTGTTACTTTAATATCCATAAACTTATACTGTGACTCATCAAATGGTTGACCATTAACATCAATAGCTTCAAATGTCAATTCAGAAGTCTCTCCTATTTCAATTTGGTCTGTAACAATAATATTTACTCCATGTATATCTGAAACAGTTACAACAACTCGTGCTTCATCATTCTTTCCATTGAAACAAACATCATTAGCAACAATGTAAGTATTTGACTCATTTCTTGGTCTAACAATACAACTAGAGTCAGTTCCATAATGTTCAATCATAACATTATTTGGAGTATCTGTAGTAAAATTGTAAAATCCACTTCCACTTGATGCAATTAATTTAACAAAATTATCAGGATGATTAAAGAGAGTAACTACTTTTGGAGAAACACTAACAACATCTACAACATTTAATGTAATAGTTCTTATCAAATTATTATTAATATCAAGTTTACCAGACATTCTTGCGTTGTTGAAGTATTTCTTTTGATATTTTATTGCAGTAAGTCTAAGTTCAACCTTTCCAATACTATCCCCAACTGAAACATGAATTGAAGAATGATCTTCTTTATTAATTTGTCTGCTTATTGATAACATATGTCTATCAGATGTTGACCATACATACTCAACAGAAGATGAATTAGTAAACATTCCTGTAACTGATGGTTTAACATATCCAATTAAATCAAGTTCTTCTCCAACTCTTACTGTCATTTCACTTGTAACACTATCACTTCCACTTACAGCTCGTTCTCTACAAATTCCTGGAACGTTATTAGTAACAATTTCCTTTCCAGCATTATCACTTTCATAAACTTCTTGTGTAGTTAGCATAAGAACTGATGGCTCACTACAAGTAAACTCCATTTTAGCAGAAGTATGAACAGTATAATTATGAGTTTTTCCTACTTTATTTCCAACTGTGATCATAACCATTGATTTACCATATTCTTTACAAACAAAGAATAATTGATTATTTCCCATATTATAAACATCTGCAATTCTATTTCTAAGTGTAATATTAGTAAAATAAAGTCCTTTATTTAAATACCAAGGAAGAGGTCCTCCTTCATATGAAATTTTAAATCCAGAAGCTTTAACAATATGTGGGTCTCTTGAACTTTTATATGATAGTTGTAATTTTTCATATGCAAATACTTGAACTTCAGCAATTCCTTTTCCATAAGTAGCAACAAGAGTAGTAGATCCTGATTTACTTGCTAAAATTTCAGCTTTTTGTGATGTTGAATTTGTTTTTAATTGGAATATTTCTGGTTGCATTACTTTCCAATTTACAGCAGCAGAAGAACATGTATCAAAATAAATACCATCAGTATCTCTTGCAAGAGCAGTGAAATTTAATGTACCTCCAACAATAACTTCAGCTACATCATTTCCAATTTCAATTGAAGCAACTTCAGATGCTTCTACAATAACAATATCAAAATTTTCACTATTTCTAGAATCACTAACTGTAACATTCACTTTACCTGCACTTCTTGGGAAAACAACTCCATCATTAGTAACAGCAACTGATTCACCATTTACTGAATATACATACTCTCCATGTCCTCCATGTGCAATAATTTTACATCCTGCAGTACCTGGAACTGCTAGCTTTAATTTTTTAGGTGAAGCAATAACTTGTTGGGAAATAATAATATCTTGAATACAATAAACACTATTTCCTCTTACAGAAAATCCATTTCCTTTTACAAATGATGCACTTATTGAAGCTCTTCCTTCTTTTTCAGTAGCAACAATAAATGAAGTATATCCTGGCTCATTTGAAATAATTTTAATTCCTCCATTTAATGTAATTTTATATTCAGCATTACTAACATAAGAAATAGCATTTCCATGACTATCAACTAATTCTGGTTTAACCTCATAAGTCTTACCTTCAATCCATTGCCAAACTCCTCTAATTTCTTTCCATACTAATCTAACTTTATAAGGAGAAACTACATTAATTGTTCTTTTTTGAATTGATTCTGGTGTTTCAATGTACATAACTGAAATAACTGCTTTTCCATTTTTATATGCAGAAGCCAATCCATTTTGTTGAATAGAAACAATACCTTCATTATAACTAACCCATTTATAATTTGGATTTGGCATAACAATTTGAGGACCAAGTTCATTTCTTTTAGTAGTAAACACTTGATAAGGTATTTGAGTATTTGGAAGAACATATAAATCTTTCTCTGGAAGAACTACAAGAATTTGCAAAACAGTAAGAATAACAGATGATACTTTAGTTGGTTCTTCAGTTAATTGTGCAGTCATTTGTGCTTTACCAAGTTCTAAACCTTTAACAAGAACTTTTGAAGTAGAAAGATGATATCTTTCCATATCTAAAATAGTTTCACTAGCTTTTAATTTAAGGGTATGTCCAGCAGTTGAAAATTTTTCAATTCTAACATAATCTCCTCCATTTCCTTTTGTTCCATTAACACTATCAATAGACCATGTCACTGGAATACCTTCTAATGTTGAAAATTTATTACCAATAGCATCATATCCAGCAATTTCAAGAACTTCATAATCATCTTTATTCATCAAACGAGTTGTAGTAACAACATCAATACGATCAATAGAATCAATTGTTACTTCTGTTCTTAAATTAACATGTTGTAATTCATCAACAGCATACACCCAAAATGATTGTCTTCCTTTCTTTGTTGTGGGTTGAACAGAAATTTTACATTGTGTAGAACATTTTCCACCAATAGGATAAAGTGTAGAAACTGTTGGGTTTGATGTGCTCCACTGAAAACATCCATTTGTTGCTTCAATGGTATAATCAATTGAATGTTGTTTTGTTGGATATGGCAACAAAACAGAAGGAACATTCATACTACTTGTATGTCCATAAGACAATGATATTAAAAGAATAATTGCAAGAAGCATTATTTGAAGGGTTTTAAGTTCTTTTTTCTTTATAAGCTTTTTTCTTTTTGATTACTTTCATTTCACAAATTTTTTCTTTTTTCAAATGTACTTCATTTAATCAATTAAACTATTCTTTATAATATATTTACTACTATATCTTTTTAAGAAAAGGGTTTCTTTTAATTTAAAAGAAAAATGGAAAAAAATAGCTACTTGTTTTAAAAACATTATTCATTTATCAAAAATGTTAATGTTTACGTATTACTTAAAATTGATTTTCTTTATTATTTCTTTTTATTCAATTCACTTTAAATGATATTAATATTATTAAATTATTTTTTTAATGAAAAACTTATTCTTCTTCTGATTTTTTTTTTTAATACAAAGAATAAGATTTTATCCATTAAGAATTTTTCATTTATATAATTAATATAATTAATTTATAATATTTCTATAACTTAGATTTATTAATGTTTTTTTTTATTTTTTAACTTGACTCAACATATTATATTGAATATTATCTCTTTTATCTTTATAATTTCCTATAATGAAATAACCAACATTACTAATATTTCTAAGTATAACTAATGGTTCAAATACATTGAACATAAACGTTATTTTAATTATTTTTTATTAAAAAAAAACAATAATCTTATTATAAATTTAAAAAACAAAATATTTCCAGATGAAATGAAATAAATTCAATTTAATGAATAATAAAATGAAAAAAAAATATTAAAATAATAATAAAAGACAAACAAACAAATTACCCAAGAATCAAATTAAAATATTAATTTAAATATTTGCATTTCTCTAATTTTAATAACAGGTATTAATTCAGGATAAGGACTTTGTACAATGGAATTATTAAAATATTGTACAACAAACCCACCAATATTTAAATTATCATTTGTTGAAGAATAAACTTTTTCTAATTCAAAATTGTCTTTTTTAAGAGGGATAAAAGAAATAAGAGAAATAAATACACATTTAAATATTTTATCTTTAGTATCCATATTTAAATAAATACAAAAAACATTATTTCGAATTGTTTTAATAACAAAAAGACGATGTAAAATATTTTTTGTTTTTTTCTTAAGATCAAACCATTCATCTTTTGTAGAACTAAATTTTAATTCTTTATCTTTAATTATTCCACATACTTTTATTATTGTACTTTTTTTTGATTCAAGTAAACGTTCTAAAGGAATTCCATTATCAGGAATATTAGATAACTCTCCAAGTTCATAACAAGGAGATTTTTTTCTATTAATTAAAATGTCTAATTGTTGTTTTTCTAATACTAATGAATTATATTCTTCTTCTATTTTTTGTTTTCCAATCAAACAATTAAAATCATAATTTTCTTTTTTTAATTCTAATAATCTAATATATTCCATATTAAATCCTTGATTATTATCTGCTTCTATTTCAATTTGACGCATTAGTTCATGTATTTCATTTAATAAATTATTTTTATTAACCATAATATCTTGCATATTCTTTGTACTTTCTAATTAATGATTTTTTAGTTTACTATTTTTTATTTTAATAATAATAATAATAGTTTTTTAATTAATAAATTCAAATTAATAAAAAAATAAAAGTCATTTAACTTGGTTTATTATTCTTTATTATGAATTTGTTTATTTAATTGAATTGCTTGAAGTTGAACACATGCCATTTTATTAATACTTCGTTCAATACAAACGGGTAATTGGAAATCTTGTTCCATTTTATTAATACTATTTAAACATTTAATAAGTGTTTTGAAAATTCGAGTATCTTTAAAGTCATTAAATTCTTTTGAGTCTTTATTTTTCATTATCATTTCATAATTCATTTGTTTTAATTTATTAGCAATTGGATATTTATTAAGAAGTTCTTTTAATATTATACTTCTACAATTTTGTAATAACTCTTTATTTCCACCAAGAACTTCAACTGTAATTCCAGCAATTTCAAAACAATTGATTTCATAAGTTTGTAATTTCTTTTTTAACCATTCTACTCTTTTACTTTTTAAATTATCTTCTAGTCCAAACATTTCCCATGCATAATGAATATATATATTTGAATTCAAATCATCTAACATTCCTATTTCAAGCATTGTTAATATACTTTCTGTCCATGCCATATTATTCCATGATAAATAATTAAGAACAACAGATGCATCTTTTTCATCTCTTAATAACATCATTTTTAAAATATTAGTATTTAAACTTATTGATTTAATTTCTATAGTATTTGAATGTCTAAATGGATTTCCTTCTTCACTATTAACTAATGTATATGGTAAAAATACTCGAAGAAATCTTGTAAATGGAATTACTGATTCTGAACTTTGAAATGAGTTTGTTAATGGAATAGATAAAATAGAATCTAATAACTCTGATCCTATACATTGATATGATATTTCTGGTATAGAAGAAGCAGCAATATCAGTAATATCATTTAATACTTCTGGATTATTAGTTTGTAAAAATTGTAGTTTAAACAATGGTAATGCATTTTTTGGATTTTTTATTGCTGCTTCTCTAAGAAATTTTCTAAATAATTTTGCATCATTAGCACACCAATCAATACTATTGAGATATTCAAATGGATTAATTTCATTTAATAACCTTTTCTTTAAATAACGATAGGAGTCTTGTTTGTTAACATTTTTATAACATTTCTCCATATTTATTAAAAGGTAAATATCTCCTTGATTTATAATAACTTCTTTCATTAACGGAATATATGATAATGGATATGGAAGTCTTGGAACATTAAATAACGGTAATTTTTTATAAATCAAAATTTGTGGTGTATAAGATGCCATTCCAGATAACGCTAATTTTAATTCTAATTCACTAATCTTTACTTGTAAATTATTTTCACACACAATATATTCTCCATTCATTCGAATAACTGCACGATATCTATCTCCTGTTCCAAATACACCAGAATTTAATTGATATTTACATTCACCATTTGTAAATTGAAGTGGAAATTCTTCAGAAATATTTGGCATTACTCCAACAATAAAGTAATCTTTAGGAATAATCTCTCTTTCAATAAATAAAGAAAAACTAGTGTTTTGATGTACTAATAATGCATATTTTGTTTGTGAATTATCTGGTATGAGTTGGATTGAAGGATTAAATGAATGGTATAATGCAAAATTCTTAATATATTTTGTACCTCCAACCCATTCAAGAAATAATTCTAAACAAGATAATAAACTTAATGCACCAGTTGTTTTAGATTCTTCTAAACTATTTAACTCATCTTTTCTTTGTAACTGTTTAAATAATGAACTAAAATATCCTACACTAATTAGTTGAATTGGATTATTATTGATTGTTTGTTGTAACTTTTTTAATCCTTCAGTAACTAATTGAATTGAACTTTCAGGTTTATTTTCAACAAGTTCAGTAGACATAAACGCATATAAAAATGATGGTATAATTGTTGAGTTAGGTTGAAAGAAATGGAGTCCATTACAATAATCTGTATTATCAATTTCTAATTGTGTTGAAGGGAAGTATGACTGAATGTCATAAATTGGATTATCTTCTAATAACAAAATTCTTAAAATGGGACTTTCAAGATGAGTAAGTATTTTAGCTATCTGTTCTTGGTGTTGATGTGTACGAATAAAATAACAATAATATGAATCATTCATTTCTATTGATTGAGTTGAATTAAAATGTTTATAAATATTTAAATAATTATCAGGAGTTAAAAGTAATGAAAGTGGTGTTGAAAAATAAACAGATGATAATGAATAAATAGTAGGAATTTGAAGATTAAGCAGTAATGAAGTGACATAAATAAATAATGAATATAATGAGATTTGAAGAATTTCAATTTCTGATAAACAAGGATTAGAAATAATTATTTTTAATGCTTCATAAAATGTTGAAACTAATTCACTGTTAATAAAAGATGCTTTATCATCAAGTTTTGTTGAAGTGTTTAGACATTCAATTAATGTTGGAAGAATAATCAAACAACCAGGTAAAGTTAATATATTATCAGTATTTATAAAATCAAAAACATTTTGTTTAGTAACTCCAAATAGTACAGGGATGAATCTAACAATATAAAGGTATTGGTCAACTTTAGTGCCAACATAATCATAATTCAACATTGCATTAACATAAGTTGGAAATGACTGTTTAATATAATCAATATTATTTATTTCTGGAAGAAGAAAAGGATTTTCTTTAAACGTTTTAATAGATTTTTCAACCAACAACTTTTCATTATTACAACTCTCTTTATTTATTAACATTGACTCTGTGATTATACCTTTGTCAATATACTTTTGAACTTTTTGAGGTGAAATACCATATTCATTTGAAAATTTATTGATTTCTTTTGAGAAACCAGAGTTATTTTCTGTTCGAAACTCGAAATGATCAGAAGGTGAAATATACATTTGGTTTAGTGTTAGTGAACAATTAGAAAGAGGTATTGAATGAAAGAATAATGTTCCTTTTGATTTATAATATTTACTTATCACATCAATAGCAGTATCAAATAATGTCATTCCAGGAAAAAGGAAGGAATGTGATTTTGGAGAATCAACATTAATAACAACAAATGGTTTATTTATTTGAGTAATAATATCAGAGTGAACAAATTTATTTGATGCTGAAATACTACGTTCAATTGAATTCATAAAATTTGTCATTTGAGAAAAGAAAGAAGAATCATTAATGAATGATGGAATTTCGCACATATTAATTATTTTAAAGATCTACTTATATTTAATTGAAAGAAATAAGAAAAAACAAGAAGAATCAAACAAAAATGTTATTTAAGTTTAAAAAAACATAAAAATAATACAAATAATAAAAAATGAAAAAACAAATTCTTAAGAATAATTAAAAAAAATTAGTCTAAAACTAAACAATAAAACCCCAGGATTTTCTTAAATACCCTTCTGAACTAGAAAAAAGAATAAAAGAGAGTAGCATGAGCAAGATCCTTGCACCAGGTCGTGTTGTTATCATTCTCTCAGGAAGATTCGCTGGTAAAAAAGCTGTTGTTTCTTCAGTTAACCTTCAAGGAACCAAAGACAGAAAATATGGATTTGTTACTGTAGTTGGAGTTGAAAGAGCTCCATTAAAGATCACTAGAAAAATGTCTGCAAAAGTTCAAGAAATGAGAACTTCAGTTAAGTCATTCTGCAAGGTTATTAATGTTAACCATGTAATGCCAACTAAATACACAGTTAATCTTGAACAATTCAATCTCATTAAACAAGTTAAAATTAACAATTTTGAAGCTGGTAAAGTTTATCCAATTTCACAAAAGAAGGCTATTTCTTCCCAATTTGCTGAAGAATACAGAAAAGGTAAAGAATCATGGTTATTTACTAAACTTCGTTTCTAAGTGAATTATTGCGTTTAATTAGTTAAATAACTAGCGAACGGTTGTTAGTGAGGTTTTTATTTTCAGGGTTTTTTCTTTTTTTATCTTAAAAATCTTTATCATCTTTTATATTTAAAACGAAAAGACAATTAATGGAATCGAAAAGAATTATATTAGTCAGAAGTAGCAGCATATTTGTTGATGAGATGACCAAATGGGGGAATAGCAAAGAAGACTTCTGAACGAGCACGAAGAAGAGCAATGACAATAAGGAATATTTTGAATATGAGATAGAACAAAACATAAAGCATCATTACAACTTCAAAAAATCCACCAAAAGCAATACAAGTCAAATAGAAAGGGAATGCTGCAATAAATAAAACAAAGAACCAAATTACTCCTTGAAGAGCAACTGATCTGCAATAAACATTTGTCTTTTCTACAAAGAAAAGAATAGCAGAACTCAATACAAAGAATGAAGATAAAAATGCCTATTTATTTTGTTATAATTATTGTTTATATAAAAAAAATATTAACTAACAAACTTCTACAAATACTGGAATGCCTGTTGAAGTGACTCCAAGTCCAGAGCTAAAGGATTGTTCATTATTATTAGTATTATTATTAATAGAAGGGGTTTGTTGTTCTCCGTCCATTATTTCTCTTTTATACATTAAAGTTTTTATAAGTTTTGGAAAATTCACAGCAACAAGAAAATTGTTTTTAAATTTTTTCCTTAGTTATTTTTTAGAAAAACTAGAAATTTATTTAATTTATCAAATTATTTATGTTCTTTATGTATTAAAACTACCACTCGATGTAAATTGTTTATAAAAGACTATGAAAGTCTTAAACAAAAATTATAATAAACGAATTAGAAATTTGTTATACTTCTTTACTTTTATAAATTGTGAAAGAAATATAAAGAGATTTTATACAATAAAAATTTTTGATAATAAATGACATATTTCGTTGAGACATAAAAGACATAAAACACTTAATCATATAAGATAGAATCAAATAACTAAATCATAAAAGTCTTTTTAATAAAGAATTTAAGATTAAAAGTACTAATATCTATCAAATTAATGGGTTTAAAAAAAAGACTTTCTACTACAATAAATGTGATGAAGAGAGAAAGTAAGTAAGGGATATTCAATTATTTGATGATCTTTTGGTGATTATCAATAGAATTATAAACCCTAAAATTTAAAAATAGAACAATAAGAATGAAAGAATGAAGTAAAGAAATAAATTATCGTATAAATGCTTAGGAAAAGTGGAAATGAAATTATAACCTAGTTTTACAACATCTAGAACTAAATAGTTTAGTTAAAGGAAGAAAAATGGCTGACGATATGGACTTATTTGGAGAAATGACCCCAGAAGAAATTGAAGCTGAAAAGAAAAGAAAGGAAGCTAAAGAAGCTGCTAAAAAAGCTGAACCAGTTGGACAATCTCAAATTGTTTATGATATTAAACCATGGGGAGAAGATACAAATCTTGATGAAATGGAAGCAGCAGTCAGAGCTATTTCTAGAGAAGGACTTGAATGGAAAGGATCAGAAAGAAAAGATGTTGCTTATGGTATTAAGAAACTTACTATTATTTGCAATGTCTTAGATTCAGTTGATACTGAATCTGTTCAAGAAGAAATTGAAGGACTTGAAGATTATGTCCAATCAGTTGATATTGTCTCCTTTAACAAGCTTTAAATAACTTTTTAGGAGTATTGATATTTTATGATTACTTTTTGATGTTAAATTAATAATAAAATTAGGTTAAAAAGAAAGAGAATTAAATAAAAAAACACAGTATTAAAAAGTTAAAAATTATGAATGAGTGTAATTGATATAAATTTTAAGAAAGGAATAATCACAAGTAGATAATAGAACTAATAAGTATTAGAGCAAATCAGAAGATTCTAAAATAGATATAGAAAATAAGTAATCTTAATGGATTTGGATCTCTGAATATTTATTTTATGTTTCAACACAAAAGAAAGTCTTCTACACCTACAGAGGGAATAGGGGTAATGCCAATTCAAAATAGTTCAAAAGATAAATTATCTTTAAGCTTGTCATTGTTTGGAGAATTACAAGATAAAAGTAAAGATGAAATATATTTTAAAGATAACAAAAGTGATGAACAATATATTACTTTTTTGAAACAAATACAAAATACTAATGAAATTCAATTTGTAAAGATAGCTAATCATTTAATTGAGAAAAATATGTTTTTAATAGAAGGAAAATTTAATTGTTGTTGGAAAGTAACAGTAAAAGATATTAGAATAATTGTATGGCAAATGAAAGAATTTAAAAGAAAAATATTGTCAATAATGTGTAAATGTATTAATGATGAAGAATTAGATGAAGTTAATGAAAAATTACCAGTCTTTCAAAGATGTTGTTTTGGACATGGAAGTAAAACGAATAATTATAATTTTATAAAAGAAATAATTTATAATTATAATAGTATTTTTGATATTCAAGGAGATCCTTTGTTAAATAATCAATTTAGTATTGAAGAAGTTTCAAAAATGAAAATATTAGAATATATGGTTGATCCATTTGCTCCAAAAGACTTTATTGTTGATGCTATGTATTCTTTATATTTATTTTCATCTGTTGATGAAGTTTGTACATTTATTGCAGGTGCACACACTGATCTTTTATTTGCATTATCAGAACAAAATGAAATAGAATATAAATTACTTCAAGAACAAGTTGTTTTTATTAGTAGATTACTTTTTTCAATATATTCACCAAGTATGCAAAATAAAACTACATTAAAATGTCTTTTAAATCCAACATATCCAACAGATTTTAGGAAGTTTATAGAAAATATTTATCAAGGAATTACAACAAATTATCTTCGTTTTTCAAAATCATTTAATATTATTGGTGATTTTAAAGAACGTAATAGATTTAATCAAATATATAAAATTAAATTGGGTAAATCATTAGATTTATCAAAATTAAATAAAAAAATAAAGAAAAGTGTTGATTATTTACAAGAAATTAAAACATTTAATAAAATTGTTCTTGTTAATTTAGAACCATTCTTTATAGCAGAACAAATTGCATTATTTGACCATAAATGTTTTAATTTGGTTGAAGTAAAAGAGTTAGTTTATTATGAACACAAATCAAGTTTTAAAAGATATCAACAAACAATGGAACATTTTAGTCAAAATATAGAACAATTAATAGAAACAGAAAGTGATATTGATTTCTTTATTTCAGTATTTCATGGACTATTTTTTTATAATGAATTTAATGGTGCATATTTAATTTATAATATATTATCAAATAAGAAAAAATCAAATCCTCTTCTATTTAATAAAATAAAGAAGATTTCTTATTCTTTATATTCAAAACTAGAAATATTTTTTAAAGAAATTAATGGACATGAATTATTTTGGATTTATTATTGTTCTTTACCTCTTTTTACTTCTAAAGTTCCTGTTGTAGATTTTTGGTTGGATCGTATTAGAAGTGATGATGTTTTAACTTTAGATTTTGGTGAACGTTTGAATGCAGAAAAAATTAAAAAAATATCTATTGATGTACAATTATGGATTGAAGCAAAAGAAACTAAATTCATATTTGATGAAATAGACATAGTAATGAAGTACTTTAATAATTTAGCTTATTTGTAATTTAATCTTCTTCATTTTGTCTCAATTTTTTTTTATATTGAAAAGTTAGTTCAATTTAATCGAACTAGAAAAGTTCAAAATTAAAATATGAAAGTCGAAAACATTCATTTAAAACAAATTGTTCAATATTTAAAATCAAATGATATCTTTTCATTAATGTGTGTAAATAAAAGAATACTTAATTGTATTCGTTCTTTAGATCATTTACCATATTTACCTTCAAAATTTCTTTTTACTTTATTATCAGACTATTCTAAAGATGTCATTCCAGTAATTTCTATGGATTTTAAAAATTCATTTATTCCACCTAAGGATGTTAAAATATTATTTCGTCAAAATACAACAACACCACTACTTCCACCTTTAATGCCAATTCGACAATACATCATTTCATTAAATATTCCAATTCACCCAAAATATTTAATTGATCTAACTACCTTTCCTTTATTAACCAAACTCACTCTTAATATCTTTTCTCAACCCTCTGAACTTCCATCGTTAAATTTAAAATCATTATTTATTCATTTAAATTCAGAAAATCATGTCTCTTTCTTATCACAACTTACTTCTATTAATGCTGAAATAACTCATGTCCAAATTCATTCACCTACTTCTGAATCAATAAAAGAAATTCAAAGACATTTACCAAAAGCTGTTATTGTTACATCTAAAATTTCTGATATTTCTTTATTAAATAAAGTAAAATGTATTCATAATTACATACCAATGAATGGGATTATGTATGAATGTACTTCTGTACCAGCTTCAATTGCATTTCTAAATGGTAATTTTATTACATCTAGGTTAATAGAAACTGCCTATGTTTATGGTAATTTATTATCAATACCTATAGACCCATTAACATTTAAAGAATTATATTTAATAAATTTATCACTACCAAAAAGAGGTTCACTTTTCCTTAGGGGAATAGAAAAGTTAGTTATTGGGTCTTGTAACAATTTAGTTGGTATTGAAGGTCTTGAAAAATGTCCTTTGAAACATTTTGTGTTTTGTAAAAATAGTTGTTTAGCTTCTTTAAAAATGCCAACAACACTAACATATCTTGATGCCTCTGATTGGAAACCTTTAACTGTTCCACCATTACCTCTTTTAAAAACAATGAAAATAAAACAATGTCAAACATTTAGACATATTACACTTCCACCTAATGTTGAACATTTATTTGTTGAAGGTTGTTCTAAACTAAAAAGAATAACTAATTTATGTGACATTCAACTCATTTCATTAGAATTGATTGAATTACCTGAATTAACTTTAGGTATTTTACCAACTTGTCTAAAAAGTTTATTTATTAATAATATTCCAATATTTGAATTAGATTTAAAAACATTAAAAAATTTAGAAGTTGTTCGTATTGGAGCATGTAGTGATTTATCAAACATTATTTTAAATAATGAAATTAAAGAAGTTGAATTAACTAACTTAAATAGTCTAACAACATTTATATATACTTCACATCCAATTAATAAAATAAATATTTTAATGTGTGAGTCATTAACTTCTATTAATGCATGGTGTTCTGAAATTCATATTAGTAATCTTTTACAACTTAAAGAAATTAAATTAAAAGAATGTAAAGGAATTGAAGTTATTTCATGTAATATTCTTCCATCTTTTGAAGAGTATGTTTATGATTTTATTATATTAAAAAAGGTATCTATCAAAGACTATTTACCAATATCTAAAAAAATAATACTTGATACAGTCAATTGTTCATTTGATTCATTTAATTTTTCAAAACAATTATCTGATGTCATTAAAATAAAGAATATTAAAAAATTAAAATCAATACAACTACCAAATAGTCTTAAAAAGTTAACATTAATGGGTATTGGAATAGAAGAAATTTCATTACCTTCTTCTCTTTGTAATTTTCATTTATTAAATTGTGGTGTTAAAGTTTTAGATATTCCAACCCAATGTAATAAACTTAAAATTCAAAAGTGTAAAGAATTAACACATCTTGACCTTCCATCTACTTTGACTTATCTTAAAATTAAAAAATGTCCAACTGCATTACTCATACCATCTTATTTACCAAATATTCCATATGAATTACTCAAAAAATATTGTGTAACTCCTATTAATTAATTATTTTCATTTTTAATTAATTTTATTATTTTTTAAATTTTTTTTAAAAACCAAAACAATAAGATAAGATAAAATATCAATCAACTAAGTTATTGGAATACTAATGGTGTAGGTGGTGTCATTGGAATTTCAAGAATTGAGTGATACTCAAATCCAACAAATTGAGCAATTTGTTCACAAATTCTTCTTACTTTATTTGGAAAATCAGTAGAATTATCAATAATAATTTGGTGTGGATGAATTGACCATTTTTCTTCAATTGTATAATCAAGAGCTGCAGCTTCTTCTGGACGTTCTCTTCTGGCTGGATTTGATTTTCTATCATAATACCTTAATGCACCAATAGCAGTTGTTCTTAAATGAAGAACAAGGTCATATCTGTTTTTACAAAATGAGTCATAATCAAATCCTCCTTCTTTCATAACTTTATCCCAATTATCTTCTGACATATAAGCAGCAGAATCCATACTTCCACGATCAGAAAGAATTAATGTAATTTTCTTATTAGTTGATTTAGCATAAGTATAAAATTGATCTTCCATAGCTAATTGACATCTAATTTTACATAATTCCCAACATAGTTTTTGGTTTTCAGAGGCATGAGCAGGAAATCCAGCTCCTGAATTAAAGAACATAGTTGAATTCTCTTGAATATGAAAAACTTGAATTCCAAGTGGTCTAAATTGATCAGCAATTAATGATAATGAAGTTGTTTTTCCTCCTCCTGGTCCTCCAGTAAGTACAATTCTTACAATTTTAGGCTCTTCTCCTGGAGCACATTCTAGTGGGTCTTCTGTTAAATTACTCATTAAGACACTTTCTCAAACCCTAGTTTTTATAATAAGGGGTTTCTTGTTTCATAATTAAATTCTTTTTTATGGTATTTCACAAAAGAAATAATCATCAATTTTTTCAAAAATTTAGAAATAACAAATTTTTATTTAGATTGTGTTAATCATATTATCCAACAATGGAAGAAGAACAACAAGAAAGTTATGAGACTCAATACTTAAATGGATGGAGTGAAAAAGAAATGGAATTAATTAATAATCTTAAATCTGTTTATCAAAGTGCCATAACGAAATTTCCTCAAAATGAAGAATTGATAAGAAGATATAATACTTTTTTACAAGGAATTAATGACCAAACAAGTTTGTACTTATAAAGCATTTAAATAAAATTATGGTTAACTATTTAGATGAAAGAGCGTTACTAAATTTAGCATTAAGTCTAATGCCTGAAAAGAAAGAATTTGTTTGGAAATTATATCATGAGTTTGAAGAAAAATGTGGCACAACTGAATCATTGATGGAATTTGAAGAAAGGTATATGGCAGATACAACAATGGATCAAACATCCAATCAACATTCTAAATTTACCTTTATTTGGATTAAAGATTTATTTACATATCTTGATAAAAAACCATTTAGTGAAGAAGATGATATGGACTATGGTTTGTTATTATAATTTGTATTGTTATTTATAAAAAAGTGACTGTTTAGGTTCTATGAAAGAATATTTTGAAAAAGCCTCAAAGTTTGAAATAAATAACCAAAGAAATAAAACTAAGGCTGGAGATGAAAATGAGAAATTAACACAATTAATACAATTATTGCCATTAAACTATCATGGAAAAATAATTGATGTTGATAAATTAATAGAAGTCTTATCTGAAGAATCTAATGATTTTATTTAAATATCATATCTTTTTATTTATTCTATATTCTTTTTATTTTAAAAAGAAAAAGAATCTACAGAAAGAACAGTACAATTGTATATATATTTGTTTCTTTGTTTTTTTAATGAAAAACTACTCTCCCTTTTTTTGATTCATCACTTAATGTACTATCAATCTCAGCAACTACATCTTCAATAAAAACACTTCTTTGAGCATTATAAAATCTATCCATAAAATAAAAGACATCCGTTGGAATTTTTTTACTTGAAGAACCTGTAGGAATATTACTTGGTAATCCTGTTTGTTCATTTTTAATATTTTCAATTAAACTCTATTGATTAATTATTGCTAAGTAAATAACATAAATAAAGAAACAAACAATATAACCTGCTTTTGTGTTATTAATTTTATCTTTAATTTGGGATGGGGATTTTTTCATATAAAAGTATTTCTGAAGGTCATCAGAAGAGTCTTTTAAAAAATCAACAAAACTAATGGCACGTCTTAATGCTAATTGCCATTGTCTATATTTAAGCATAATATATTTTGTGGAGTTTAATGTCCAATTTCTGTCAATTTTTTTAACTGTTTTAGTTGGTTTTTGATTTTCATAAAAGGATTGAAGGGGTTTTAGTATTGGAGTTTTTGTAGTAAAAGACATTTGTTGATCTCCTATAGCACTAGGATCCATTATTACAGTAAAACAAGTTCTTCCTTGGAGTGAAATAGGACGAAAAGCAGATGGTGTTTGCATTGAATTGTCTTCTGTTGGGAACTAAAAATCTAACTGAAAAGAAGTCAAAGAAGATTTAGAATAATAAGAATATTCTTTTTTTTCAGAGTTTTTAGTTGTTTAGAGTTTAGCAAAAACAGTTTTTGTTGTTTGAATAAATAATATAATATTTTTAGGAATATTTTTATAATATTGTTTTTTCAGTAACAGAAGACAGTCTGTTGAATGAACAATTTCTTTTTTTATTTCAATTATTTTTTTTTAATTCATCCTAATAATAATTTTAGATTTTTCAATCCTTCTTTCTATTTTAAAAAAATAACAATAAGTTTTTTAATTTAAAATAAATTTATTTTCTATTTATTATTTATTAATTTTATTTTTTGAATTTATTTATTATCATTTCCATTTTAATGAAAATAACTAGGTTTTTTCGTTATAATGTTATTAATATTTTCATTATAGTTACTTTCTTATTGAACAATTTTCAGATTATTTTCTTCTTTGAACCTTTTTAGTATAAACCTTATTATTTTATGTCTCTTAATGTTATGTTGTATTAAATTTATTAAATTAATCATTTTTTATCTATTTATTTCATTCTCTTTTATTTTTCGTTTTATTCTCATTTTGTTTGTGTTTATTATATACTAGTAATTATTATCATTTTGTTTATAGACTATTTTCTTGGTTCACTTAAAAAATAGGCTAAGACCCTCATACCTCATATGATAAAATAATATAAACAAGTCAAAAAGGTATTAAGTAGTCATTGTGTCATATCTTTTTGTAAAGAACGATTTATTTACTTTTATTTTGGATTTTATAAATTAGACACATTCTTATCTTATATTTTCACTCCTTCATACTAAACAACTTTTTCTTGTAAGCCGTTGATAATATAATTTTATTAATCGTCATTGATTATTTTTATTATTAATATTTCCAGTTTTTTAATTCATTTTTCATTCATCCAATTTAATTCATTTAACATGAATTACTTATTTAGTTGAAAGTATGAAAAATATAATGAGTGTATTAAAAAAATTTGGATTGGTTATGAAAATTAAATGAAGGAATAAGATGTTATTCATGAGAAGTATTTCTAAGAAGAATAAAACAAAGAAATAGGAAATAATAAGAGAATATTATGAATGATGGAAATAAAGTAAGTTGATAAATAGAAAAATATATTGATAAGATAGAACATAGACTAAATAACGAGTGGTATTGATGAAATAGATTAAGATAGTAAAGAAGAATAAGACAAAAAGGAATAAAAATATTAAAAATAACAGTCAACAATTAAATTGAATATGATGAACTTAATCAATATTCAAATAGCTGAATAATATGATAAAATGAAAGTCTGTTACTGAAAAATGAAAATAAACGAATATAGAATAAAGGAGGAATTGATTATAACAAACAAATATTGTTTGATGATAAATCATAAATTCAATATATTCTTATTTATTTGTGTTATTATATTTTCCAATGAAAAAATTAATAGATGTTTTTGTTAATAACAAAAGAATATATTACCATAATAGATAGAATTGAATAAGAAAAATGAATAACTTTGTTCAATTTCTTTAGAGTCTCTTTTAACTTTTAAGAACTTCTTTTTCTGAGTTTATGCTGTCATTGAAACGAAATGTTATTGTTAGTACAACCCTGAACTATATCAACCGATTCCAAAAAAATTATATCCAAATACTAGTTGTATTAGAAAACAAATCATGAATTATATTTAAAGTATATCTAGTATTAATATTCTATTTATAGTTAAAGAATTATTATAAACTACAATCTATAGAAATAATTTTCAATCCACACAAAAAATAGTTTAAATATTGGGAACAAAGTACATGTGTTTTGAACAGAAGAATTACTTCATTTGGCAGTTAACATATAGTTTATCAACAAGGTTGTTCACTAATTGAAAGAAGGAAGAATTTCTTCTTATTAAAAATAATAAAAATGAATAAGTTTGTTGATTGTTAGGGTCAAACAGAAGATGTTTGATGAATAATTTTGTTTTCATCATAAAAGGTCAACAGATCTATGATACAGTCAATGATTCCAATATTGTTATTGATACTCCACTGTAACAGTAAAACTACTGATGGAAGAGACCAATTATCACAAAATTATCCCTTTGGAATGAGAAACCAAAATACTAAATTTAATGAGTACTTTTCAAGTGCTGTTGATAGTTATCAGATTCAACAATTTGCTGAAAGTGGAGTTTTTAATGCAAATCAAGAGAATTATGTTAGAGAGAAATGTAAAACATGCTGTAGAGTTATTTTTGCATCAGACTATAACTATAAGACCGAAAAACAATTTACTGATGAAGATGACAAGAATGAAACACCAAGGTATGTCATGGATATGGAATTTGATGATAAAAGATCTGTTAGATATCCAGATGGGAATTATGAACAAAATGTTCTTTTAAGACCATTAAAACAAGGAAATGAACTTCAATTCTTTGAATTTGCACCATACAGAATGTACACGTGTTATGCAATTCCAAAAAGAGTACATGATATTAGAGCAGGAGCTGTTGAAGGACATACACTGATTATTTAATCAAAAAATCCACCATTATCAGATGCACCAGGCACTCGAAACCAAAGATTTGTTTATGTCCATCCATATCCAGATTCATGGTATCCAGAATATCATACTGTTATTAAATATAGAAATAGTCGTGGAGCTCTTGTTGATAAGAAGCTTGAATGGCCTACATATAAAAGACATTTTTATCTTCCTTATCGACTTGATGTTGATCTTTGTTATCAAGCAAAGAGTGCAGCAGATATACCATCTAAATGGTATGGGAATAGACATCTTAATACTATTGGTGATAGTTATCAGATTACAGCATCAGTATGTAATGCAAAAGAACCTAGACAAATATTCATTCCAGTATTTGCATAATTGAAATAATATTTAACAATTATTTTATGAATGAAAGTAATAATGATGAAATAATAAGTCATACTCAATTAGTTTATTCATATATCAGCCTTTTTATCATTTTTTAATTGAATAATAATTATACTTAACTTTTTTATTTTTATTCAGTATTATTTAAGATATTGAATGTGTTATTTCAAGAAACACTATAAATATATATAAGAAAATAAATAACAAAATAAAGAGAAATTCACATCAACCAAGAAATATAAATGATAGAAGAATGAGTGAAAATAGGTATTATCTGTATGGAGAGAGATACGTAAATAATTACACTAATCATTACAATAAGAATTATCACCATAATTATCACAACATTGATGATACAAATCATTTCACTCATCACTTCATTCATAATCATCATCATAAACACTTTAATAATTATTTCAATAGAAATAAACAATATATAATAGAAATAAATACCATCACAACATACAAAGAAGGTACAAACAATATCGAAATAAGAAACAAAACAGAAAATAAAAGAAAAATGATTGAAATACAAAATCAAGAATATTGGAAAAGACTCTTTGAAGATAAAAAGAATAGGCAAAGAAAAAAAGCAAATAATTGAAAAAGAAGAGAATGAATGATATAAAAGAATAAAAAGAAAGTAAAAAGTAGAAGAAGATGAAGAAAGAATAAAAGTAGAAAGGAGAGAAGATAAAAATAAAGAAGATAAAGTGTAATAAAACAAAAGAGATGATAAAAGAAGAAAAGAATGAAAAAAATAAAAGATGCAAATTTTATTGAAACAAATAAAAAAGCGCAAAATTTAATGATGCAAAATTTAATGATGCAAAATATTTAGCAACATTTTTATTGATGCAAAATATTTTGAAATAAAAATAAATCATCATTTGATATTATTATTATATTTGATAATAATTTATAGTATGTATTAAATACATCATATTTCTTTATTATTTATCTTTCTTTTCTTTTTATTATTTCATATATTAAATTATTATTCATTCATTCATTATTTATATTTCATTTATTAAATAAAATGAAAATGAAATTGTAAAATATCAATCAATTAAATATTCATGAATAATTTATTAATATTTAATAATTGAAATAATAAATAATAAAGTAACAATAATGATATATTCAATATATTCTTTATTTGATTTGTTCAATATTAGATTATTGTATTTCATTATCATTTCATTGTCTTCATTATTTTATTTCATTTGTTATTTCATATTCATTTATTATTTTTTAAAATCAAATAAACAATAATATTGATATTAATCATCATATTCATTTAATATAATAAATATACACAACATTTCAGAATAAATAATGAATAATTGAGAATGGAAATATTGATTATATTTAATATTTTGATCAACATAAAATCAATAAAACATATATTTTGATAATAC